GAAATTCTTACTGAAAGCCGAACGTGAGCTGGAGGCCGCTAAGGGAGATAATCCTACTAGAACACAACACCCACACCCTCTAACCACTGGGTGAAGGTGACCCACATTGACTCCTCATGGGATCAGGCGAGAACAGTTAGTCATAATCGGCAGAGGTCATTGTCAATGTTCCACTTCGTCGATTTAATCATCAAGATATCACACATCATGATACTGGGCATTAGCGGGTGTAGTCGGTAACAGTGAGTGAGTATGGTTTTACGCAGCTTCTGAGCAATATTCCAGCAAAATCACGGCGGAGGGACACCAGAAATGGACATCACACATTGTATCCGTGTGGGGAATGGAACCCGGGGCTTTGGCGTGACGAGCGAACGGTTTGACTATAAGGCTGCCCCAAAGCTCAGTAGAAGTCGGTATCAATATATACAGTCAAAGACTACCAGATAGTATGTCACATGAAGAATCTCGGTGTCAGTGTATTGACAAACATCTAAACCGTTTCGTTCCCAACGATGACAATTATAAAGAACAGCTTGAATAACTTGATGTTGAGTGGTTGTAGTGGTCACCTCTTCGGTGATTCTCCACTATACCGTCAGGTGAATAATTACGGGGACTGGACAAAGCGAAGAATTACCTGAGGACATCTTAATTTAACTGAGTGTTTCTTATCTTCCACTGCCTGTTAATTTCTAAACATAAAATGGTTGTATTTGTTTGCTGTTGTTTCAAAGAAATCAATAAGAGACAGACCCATGTCTTGTATAACTTGTTTATTACATACACTGACTGGGCTTGACAATAACCGTGGTCAGATTGTTTACATACAGGTGTGTTTGCATTCTGATATCGCATTGCAGGAATTCTGTCAACAACCTTAACGCGAACCGTCGATGGTTTAACCTCAGAAATGAACCGTGTAATGTAAATTCTTAAACAGATCGCACAGACAGTAGGCAAGTTTGTGCATGTATCCATCGTTGTATACGTCCCCATTGTTTTAAGCCCGTGTCATGACCCGGCACAATGAGACAGTTTAGTCAGGCTTTGCCAGCATGATTAGCAAACCAAGGATACAATAGCAACAACCTACTCTGTTCAACAAGGCATTACATTTTGTCACAAAGGCGTTCTAATTACCTCCCTACAAAAAGAAATAGATAAAGACTGGGAGTTGTCGTTATGCATAGTGATGTAAATACCAGACTTCTCAATAACAATAAGCAACAGCTTTAAGGGCATTACAAATCACACAGTGGCGGTAAATCACTTGCTGTGACGCACGAGGGAAAGGTCGTTAATATGGCTTATATAAAGGACTTTACAGTCAGTGTATTTTTCTTATGCGAACATCCTACTTATATTCAATAAATATGTCCTCTTACATTAACCCATGTCGTACTTTTGTTGTATGTGTCTTTTACGTACACAGCTGAAGGGAACGTAAAGGGTGTTAATTTGCTTCTCGTGGTGAAACGTCCGGGTCAACGTCCCATCACCCACTCTATTCTAGTGAATGCTGTACCACTAAGCAACTCTCCTGGCCAAAGGATTGTTTGGTTGTTGTTTAACGCCGTACTCAACAATATTTCAGCAGTCTGTAAATAATCGAATCTGAACCAGACAATTCAGTGATCAGCATCATGAGCATCGATCATCATTTGGGATACGATTACATGTGTCAACCAAGTCACAAGTCACCCGATCCCGTTAGTCGCCTCTTATGACAAGCATGGGTTACTGAAGACCAATTATAATCCCAATCTTTTCGGGTTCTGGCCACATATACTGAAGACGTTAATATTACACAGATGCATCCACGGTATAATCAGATCCGAGATTACAGCAATGCACAGGAACGTATGGTCTGAACAGTTCCGTCCAAAAGGGACGAGGGGTGGCTCAGTTGTTGAAGCCGTCACGCTGAACACCGAGGTTCGATTCCCCACATGGGTGCATGATGTTCATTTCTGGTGTATCCTGATTATATATCGCATGAATATTAAAGTCAGACTAAAACTACACCCATTCACTTCAATTTCAGAGTCACTAGGAAGCCATCGATAAGCCCTCTTTCTATCTTCCTAAGAAACGCAGCCACAACTATCACAAAGTGGGAAAGCGTGTTATATAGGTGTCACTTTCACTGCAAGTTCTAATCTGCTTAGGCGCTTGATTGCCTTTATTACAGGAAAAAGTGACTAGAATTAGTTTAGTACACTGCTCACAGGTAACATGTCTGAATCACCACGCTCACGTTTTATTTGCCACGAGAAGAACTTTATTTAGTATTTAATTCCTAACTCGCGTGATCACATTATTATACCACATGTGGTGAGAATCAATTAACTCCGCTCAATAAAACTTCACTGGAGTGCCGGATCATCGATTAACACGGCTGTGACATGCACGGACAGCGGTAATGAAACTAATACTCCAAAATGCCATATGTTTCAAAGAGAAACGTAAAAATTGGGGAATATATTTATCCATTCTGTTCAGAACACAAAATACATTGGGCAATAGGGCTGCGCAATATAACCGGTTTACCGGTATTTACCGGTTCAGACATGAAAACGATGCGTATTGCGATACGCTGGTTGAAAACCGGTATTTTGACTTGCATTCGGAAAACTTCGTAACACTCGGAAATCTTCGGATATTTCCTTTGTGCCAAATATTCTTCACATTTCTATTTTATCATGATTAAAAGTTGTTATTAAAGCTTAATCAAGCATAGTGATTTTGTTGTGTTTTTGCTCTATAAATCAAGCATTAACTCGCTTATAAGTAGTATTTTGTTTAAAAATACTTCAGGCAATATATTGCAATACATATCGCAATACATGCTTTCGCATCGCAACATATTGCAATATGAAAATTCTGTGCAATACCCACCCCTATTAGGCAAACAGCCACCTACCATAGCAGCCAAAACATCAGTAATATATATGTCTGAGAACTATATAGGTACATGTTCAATTCCATTTAAAGGAATTCAAACTGTCCTTCCTGATGATTGCTTGATAACAACAAATGATGATATCCTTTTCTTGATAACGGTGTTAGGATCTACGCCGAAACGTCGCAACTACTACTGCAACAAAGAAGTTGTCTATCCATAAAAAGTGCTCCACTTCATCATACCAGCTTCTAAATGCCGCTTAAGGAAGGAAACTCCCTGATGTATACCTGGGTATCGGTGTAGTGGTATCGGTGAACACTGCTGGTGTGATCTCCCCGTTGTCTCCCACCCCCTCCCCCTACCCCCTCCTTTATACTGATCTTAGTCAATCCATATCGACAAGAGGTCCCTGTAAAACTAGCACTATCACTTACCTATAATGGCTTTAACGAGAAAGTAGTTAGGTTAACATCCAACGCCTGCTTTCACAAAATATCACCGTTTTATCTTCCAGCCTAAGCAAAATGCATATTTGCACTCGAAGTCCGGTCATGTTAAAAATACGACACATCAAAGGTTTTGAAATTGGTTGAGGGAATATAATTTCTTTAAAATATGTTGAACAAAAATAGAGATTACGTATAACTCAGTGGTACCTAGAGACTCCGAGATATTGGGTTTCTGTAGAAAGTACTTGCTTGTAGTTGTCAGATGAAAATATACTGAAAATTAGAGACATATACGTGTACCTATAAGTATCATTTATACTGCCATCCGCATATACAGAAAATAAGAACCCGTGAAGATCAGGGTTAGAATTATCTTTAGCAACCTATGCCTTTTGTAAGAGGCGACTAACGGGTCGAGTCAGTGAGCCTGACCACCTGGACCCGTTAGCCACCTCTTACAACAAGAGTGGGTTGCTGAAGATCAGTCCCAGCCCGGATCTTCACGGGTAGATCTGGAGCTGAGGCTCGATGCTCATGATTGTAATCACTGGATTGTCTGGTACAGACTGGAATCTTTACAGAGCGTGTCATATAGCTGAATACTGATGAGATCGGGGTACGAAAAGAAAAGAAAACCTAAACAAAACGTTTGTACGATCATCATATCAACATTGTCTTGCAGTACACCGAATGTTGGTTTGATTTAGACTTTCCCTTTCAACACGTCTCTTGGGTTCTGTCATATTGAGCACAAAGAGTTGAGTGAGTGAGTTTAGCTTTACGCCCCTTTTAGCAATATTCCATCAATATCACGACGGGGGACACCACAAATGGTCTTCACACTTGTACCCATGTGGGGAATCGAACCCGGGTCTTCGGCGTGACGACCGGACGCTTTAACCACTAGGCTACCCCACCGCCCCCACACAGAGTTGAGTAGCATACAGCTAAATATACTACTCAAAAGAACATCCATATCTTCTATATTACTATCATTAATCTGACACAGTGTGACATATTAACTTTAGTAATATGAAAGAATCGGGCCGCGTTCTTGTTCTTTTTTTAGTCGTATATATCATAAGCAAAATTAATGCTTTACGGAATAACAGTACAATGGGTACGAAACATCGCTGATAACACCATCGCTTAACTCTACGCAAATATAAACACACGTTCGATTAATGTGCCGTATTTTAAACACAATGTCCTTACCGTTCGTTTGTATATTTCAACATAAGAGGAATATGTCGTTTTTTATATGCCTATACACTACTCCTATTACCAACGATTTCAATACCATCAAAACTGATTTGTAATTCATAGAAGTGCATGAAAGTAGTATTTTAAATACTGGAAGTATAAAACGTCCAAAGGAACATGTAAAGTATTTTAATACATTCTCACACTTTTTGTCCAGATAGTGAATCGTACATGTTCACCTACATGACGATCTTAAGTTTGGAAGTATCGGAATACCTGCGACTCATATTATCAAACACGTACACCCCGTTCACAGATAACAGCGGAACTCAAGCAAATCATCCCCCTCAAATTAAAGTACTGTCACGGAAAGTATACCCTCTCCCCAAACATACAGGCACGGAAGTCATGAAACTATCAAACCAAGCTATCGTCCTCACCTGTGCTTCCTTGGTATTTCCGTCCGACATGGTGGAAGAGTGTGATTGTTTTCTCCTATTTAATTCCCTGAGCTAGTGTGGGTCGCTACTATCGGGTGGAGAACGACTGTGACTACCCCGTCTCTATGACGATGCCCTCCGTGTTGCTGTGTCACCCGTGGTGGACCGTCTTCCCTGCTGATTGGCTGAACCCCGCCGTAATGGGGCCGGGGGTAACAACGCTATGTTTAAGCTGTGATTGGTTTGGCCCCACTATTTGGAGCTTACTGCGAAGGTTAGCTGCTCCATTGATGTATCGATCTTGGTACTTAACGCTGGGATTGCGATCAGGGTAGGGGAGACAACTTGTGTCAAGTACATGGATACTAAGAAATGCAGTTCTTGATGAACAGAACACATTTCCCTTGAATCCTAAAATCAGCTAGGGTTCATTAAGGCACTTATCAGCTCAATCGAGGATTTGTATATACATTAGAAGACAAGTATGATACGTTGTGCAATGGAACCATTTTAACAGATTCTTTTTTGTATTATCGTGTTTGTTTTCAAGGAGTACCAGTGGTTCAGAGATAATGAGGCTTTACTCGGTGTTATATAATTATTAATTGGTATAAAAGGAAGCTGGGTAACCATCATATAAACATGAATTTCATTAACCTTAATTGTTTACACCCAGCTAGTTAATGGACTGAGCACAAATAGACCTTTACATATGGTTATCAGCCACCTACAACTCTTGCACCAACTAAACAATTACCTTACTCAGCGTTTTTTGACGAACCACAGAAATGCAGAGTGGAATATTTCAAATAGAACACAGAGAGAGAGAGAGAGAGAGAGAGAGAGAGAGAGAGAGAGAGAGAGAGAGAGACACACACAGACACACACACAGAGACAGACAGACACACACACACACGGACACACACACAGACAGAGCGAGCGCGAGTGAGCGAGTTTGGTTTTACGCCGCTTTTAGCAATATTCCAGCAACATCACAGCGGGGGACACCAGAAATGGGCTTCACACATTGTACCCATGTGGGGAATCGAACCCGGGTCTTCGGCGTGACGAGCGAATGCTTTAACCACTGGGCTACCCCACCCACCGCCCCCACAGACAGAGAGACAGAGAGACAGACAGACACATCCCCCACTTTAGTAATCAATTATTATTACAAAAAGTGTGGGCAATATCAAACGGGGGGGGGGCTCCGTTTGAAGAATCGTACCCTGGTCTTCGATGTGATGAACGGATGCTTAAACCATAACCTACCCTCTACGTTTGCCTTCACTAAATGTACGGGATGGTGAATTTTTGACGTTTTGAGTTAGGACATGCTGCAATGCCATGACGTCATAAAGGTATGTTACAGATGTGTGTTGAACATGATAAGTTACGCTCACAATTAACGCGGCCATCATGAGGCTGTTTGATTGTTGTAATAATCGTCAAGATATTTTGTGTGTCGGGCTATCGTTTTGCTAATTAAGTCAACTTCATTAAGGAAACTAAGTGTCTTTACAACTACTCGAACTTGCGAAGGCAGCTAACCTGTCGATAAGTGAACTAGCCATTTGTACATTGTATTACACTGCATATTTAATACAATATCTTTGGCTATTTAGGAGATAACCCTAGTGTGTTTGAAAATCAGAGACATGCTTTACTGAATTGATGGCGACTAAATTTCAATTGGAACCGAACGCGTAGCGTGAGGTTTCAATTGAAATATTTAGTCGCCATCAATTCAGTAAATATGTCTCTGATTTTCAAACACACTATAGGGTTATCAATCCATTCTACCATGACCCATTTAAAATCGAACTTCCTCGCTCTGCGGAAGACACTGCGTAATCCGGCATGGGACGAGAGGCGAATTGAACTCGTCTGTGAAGGGAGCGGTAGGTGCCATTCGTATTTTTTTAACATTACAACATAACAATATTCTGTCCAAAGAAATCAAACTACTGTTTATTCAATGCAATTATATAATACCCGAGATCTTGGGGTTTTTTTCATCCCAACTCCACACGACTAAAACCAGCCTATTGTTTTGTGTGCCGTGAAACTGTACCCCCCTGGCCACACTATAATGGAATCGTCTGACCTACATATTTTCTTCGAAGTAGACAGTTACGCAACAGTTTGAAATATAATTGTATTTTTCGAGTTTAAATAAATGTTTTATCAGCATTTCCATCACGTCTGTTGTGTTGATATTAGTCATGTTGGTGGTCAAGCTGAAGTAGTGCGGCAGTGTTCTATACGAAATCTATATGAAATCAAACGCATTTTTAATCCAAAAATTTCCAATTGCCTATGTGGAATATTCGAAAGTCAGCGTCAAAATCCATGGAGTTGTTGTTATGATCCGCCATCATTGTGGTCAAACGGAAGTAGTTCTCACAATAAGATTTGTCAATGCGCGGTGAAGCGGCCTTACAATCAGATGAGCGTCAATCCACAATTGATGCCGTCTGATTTTTCTGAACAACCAATCAGAATCTAGTATTTTCTTGATTCATGGTAGAATGTATAGTGATTATAGTAGTTTGTACACATACACAAGTTAAAAAATAACATACGTAAAAAAAATAGCAGAGAATGTTTTGTACGGACTCTGATCGTCTACAGCATATCTGATTCATTCTGGAAACTTTGGTCTAACAAAATCGTAAGGTTTTCGGTAAATATATCCTTTGACATCTAAATGAATACTTTGGAAAATGTTACGATATTCGTCGCCTCGGAATCTGGAATTTGACAAAGGATTTGCACGGTTTTCAGCCCTTGGCTTAATGACGGCAAGTCAAAACATTGATTACACAACTGTCTCGTTTCCTGCTGACTGGGTTCCGCCCTATTGCGCAACTTATTACAATAACCAGTCCAGAAATTTGAGACCAGCTCATTCAACTGGATATATAGATATTAATCAGTATTATTTGATACATCTAATCACTTGTATATCGCAACACTACGCTCCTTCTAATCCTTGCAAACACGTCGTGCAGCGTGCTCTGCCGTACGACGTTCTCTGACAAACGGAAATCTTGAAATCGTGGAAATCTCAAATAAAGGCTCGGCCGCTAGAAAGGTTTGTCGGTCTTTTACGGCTTTGATATTATATCAATCACATTGTACTTTACAAAAACACGTTTAATAAGCGCAAAAACACATAACAGGTGTAACCAGATGAATTGTGAATCATTGTACGACATCTTCTAACAGGGGCAGTCTGCGAAGTCTTAGTTAACGACATGCTGCCTAAACCTCGACATAAAATATAGAATTACGATTTTATTAAACTTTAAAATTAAGATTAATTTGTAAATACCATTTTCTCATTAAGCAAGGAATTCGAATTCAGTGTAACCATAGTTGTTTGTAGTGTCTCTTTTCACTTTCACACGAGAAAATTCGGATCGGCTGAAAAGTAGGTCATTGTTTGAATTAGTTACTGAGACTTATGTTTCGGTTTGCCTATTTTAGAGGAGTAAGGTTGTATCCAAATTTAATCCAAAGAACGATTGAGCACACCAAGTTCAATGAACCAATACTCACAAATAGAATCCGTCAACAGCAGAATATTCTTTTTCAAATTGACAATTACGACCTAAGTATTTACTGAGGACAATGCATCTGAATTAAACCGTTATTATCTTTTTTGGGGTAAGAAAATATTGATTTAAACATAGATTATTCATAAAAGAAAAGGGTTGGGCACAATATATATATCCATCTGTGCACTATCCCAGCATGTATATGGATACATTTGCAATATATATAAAACAGACTGTTTAGAAACAGGGATCCGTACGGGGAGTAAGGAACAAAACGGAATCAACACAATCAGAGAAATCGTTTAGTTTGGCCATGTAAAATGAGATTTATGTCTAATGGTATTCTATTGTGTACACTAGTCTTTAAACCAACAAACATAGCATCTCTCTGTGAGACGTCAACTGATCAATCTAAGAACAATGTACAGCATTCTCTAGTCGACATACTGAATCAGTTTAAATATTAATTCTGTCGTATATAGATCAGCATGTTGTAAGGCAATTTGAGAGTGTCCTTACCTCTATCACTGATCATATAAATATTGAAAGTGAAGGAAATTTAAGTTCACATTGTTGTAGATTTGATTGTGTTTGGTTTATGCGACGTAAGTCCTACTTGAATTGCACCTTCAGGAAGAAGACTGCGGTCACTGATATCGTGACAACCCCACCCCCACCCCCAACCTTGTCACCCACGGCATGTCTCTCACATGCCTAATGATTGTGACACTGGGTATGATTGCGCATTCAATAAAGTGATATCAAATCCCAAAGATCCAATGTGTAACATCGAAAGTGAAGTGAAAGCTTCATAAAAATTGAGTTTTATCCTGAATTAGTCATTCATCATCATGTCCTATGTAACAATAGGTGAGGACAAAAATTTAAAAAAGCAAAAACGATTCGTGGCCCGCATGGGGGTCGAACCCACGACCTCCGCGTTATCAGCACGGCGCTCTAACCAACTGAGCTAACGGGCCCTCGAGCGCCATGGCCGTTTTCTTAAAACTTATTATTCACATTAATTGTATCAATAACGATGACCGCTGGAGAAATCTTTGTTTTACCACAGGCATTACACATTTACATGTTAGTCTACTTCGTGACCCTTAACTCGTATATCTTGTGAAATCTAACAGGATGATGAACATGGTGTGGGTGCACACAATCCAAGAACGATAACTCCAGCTGCTTGTTTCCGTGGTTTGCAGAGGGAGGCCCTGTTACAACTGACAAACTCTCCCGTGGACTGAGACCATTAGAATCTAGTAACGTTATGGGTTTCTTCTGATGACCGACAACATCACGTATACGTGTGTACAGTTTAGCTCTGTAAGTTTCAATAATGCACGGGTAGTCTCGAACGTTCCCGAAGTCATGGCTACTACTGTATATAGAGGATGTACAGCATGTCACAGCTCGGCACCAAATGACACGTACATATCTGTTGACACGGTATCTGATGACTTGGAAAAAATACGTAAATATATTTTAGAAATATTGGCCAGTTTCTCAAAATTCTTCCTATAATTCTGAAAATGCGAATTTGAATAAATATGAAAAAGACATCAATAAAGTGAGTCTCATCTGTTTTATAATACCGCGCATGCTATTAAACTGCAGACTTGTTGATGTTATATTAACGTAAGCAAAACGTTTCGTATGAAATTATAAGTGTTGGTATATTTTTACTTGA